AAAGCACACACAAGTAATTGATTCAGCAGAATTCAAAATAATAATAATAATAATAATATACAATACATTACCAAAAGCAGGTTTTCCAAGGTAGCAGTATATACAAGCAAAACACAAGCAGCTTCACTTTCATTTCTCGCTAATCCATGTTCCTTCCTGTCTTGTTGCAGCAAATTTCAGAGTGCAAATAGCCCTCATTGTCTGATTTAGTTGCTATGCCTATTCATTGGCTGACCACCTTACCATGTGTCAGCTGAATACCATGAATGCTGGTAGGCAGAGGCATAAGTTTTTTTCTTCTTATTTTCCTCCCTAAAAACTAAGGTGCGTCTTATACTCCAGAGCATCCTATATTCCAAAAAATACGGTACACTGTAGTTTTTCAGTCTATGGAAGTATCTGTTTTTGTTTTGGCAATTGCAAATTGTTGCCAACTTTGTAGAGTCTCTTTTGTCTATGTTTGATTTGCTTGCTTTCTTCTGTTTTCAGAACTGTAAAGTTCACTCGGACACTGTGATCACCTGCCCTTCTCCGGCTGCCTCTAATCTTACTGGAAGCAAGCCAGCATTAGTGGACTTTTTCATCAATGGACTCCTGTATACCGACGAGAGCCTTTTCCCCTTTGAATACCCTGAGGAAGCTGTACATGTTAGCAAATTTCACATGGAATACTATACAGATCCCCAGTTTTTCACAGCCAATAAAGAGAAATTGATTAAACATCATCCTGGAGAGCCTTTCACCCTTGTTATACATGTAAGAATTTGGAATATACGGACACTGAGAGAGAGGAGAATGCTTAATGTGAAAATAGTTACACGTCCAAGGGGAAAGAATCTTGAGAAGGCAACAGAGACTGGCATAGGCAGATGGTCACCTTTAATCATTACATTGATTACGAGTTGGAGAAGGAAGACTTGGCTCAATTAAACAGTAAAAATTTAGCCATGAGAATTCAGATAAAAGTTTGTTCTTTTTCTAACAACTTAAGAATATGGGTAAATAAAAACAATCACAAGGGAACAAACGTATGACCGAATAGTAATTGAAAAAGCATTCTTATCCCCCCCCCCCAAAAAAACCAACCTGCTTATTCTAATAGCTTCTCTTAAGTAAAGAAGAAAATTTTGATAAAGTAATAAGTTGATCAAGAAAAAAATGCTACTTGAAAGCCATTATGGTGACTGAAAGTAAGCTTCAGAAGCACTGGACAGTGCATTCATCAGCGCGTAATGTAAGCACTACCTTCCCTCATTCTGTTTTTCTCCAGATTATACTTCATCTGTTTCCCATTAGGTTTTAATATTAACTATCAGGTGAAGATCAAAAGCACAATTTGCGTTCAAGGCTTTTTAACTCAAGTTTTCTATTCTGGGAATTTGAAAGGGATTGGTAAACAACTCCTGTTTTTATATGCATTAATATCTTAGCTAAAATAGAAAAATAAAAAGGATGGGGAAGAGAGTTCTGTATTCGTGCCTTGAAAAAAATGAAAGGTGCTATCTGAGAGCTTTGAAGTCAATAGAGTTCAGAAATAAAGTTGAGGGCTGAATTTAGTTCCTGGTAGAATCATGTTGCTCTTCTTTATTTCTCTTATTAGAAAGAGCCTGACAACCTCGGTCTGAAAAGCAATGAATATGAAGTTAAAATTGGCCTAATTTCCTGTGAGATCCAAATTGTTTCTGACAAAATCATTCACTGTTCAGTCAATGAATCTTTGAGCACTTCAGAAAGAAAACTCCCTGTTACGGTAAGTGATATGAGTCTGAAAGCATGTGCCAACATGTATATAGTTTGCTTTGCAGCCCATCTAGTCTCTTATGCCCCATGGAATTTGGCTTCTATTACGAAGTCCAAGTAAAAATTTAAAAATAGTATTTTGCCTTTGGTATCTTCTGTTGAAAGAGAATAATATCAAAACAGTAATGAAAACGTTCAAAGGTTATAAATATGGTGCCACAAAAAAGATAATTTTGTGGCATCTTAAAAACAAATAGGTTTAGTTTAGTATAAACTAATATGGTTAATAATTATCGTAACAAAATAAATGTATTAGACCTTAAGACAAGGATATGCAACTTTTCTTGATTTAAAGGCTATACTAGGTTTTGCACAGTGACAAGGACTGCATGTCCAAAGTAGTGAGAATGAAGGACCACTTCAGAGGTGGGATTCAGCCAATTCTCTCTGATCCGGTCGAACCGGTAGTGGCAGCGGCAGGATGCTCCGCCCACCTGCCCCAATGTAATGCATGACCAATGCGCATGCACAGAAGGCACAGATGAGGCATGTGTGAGCAAAGTGAGTACACTTGTGCTCGCGCTCACATTTACGAACCGATAGGGAAGATAAGTGAATCCCACCTCTGAACCACTTGGGGGGGAAGTTTCAGGGGTTTTGTCTTTTAAACAACCCACTTCATTTGTTCTTGAATAGACTCTGAGACCCCAAAAGGGTGCTGATTGGCTACAGGCTGTCTCTGGAACACACATTTTACAATCCCGTTTTACAGGTTGCATGAGATCCTTCTTACATGAGATTGAAGAATGCATGAGATTCTTCTTACATCCCCAGGACTGGGCATGGTTTTATCATGTTAAGTTATCCGGAGCTGCTGGAATTTCACTCAACAGTATCTTTATATACACAGGTTGTCCATCTCTGTGTTAAAATCTTTTAAAATATGGTCTGAGAGGGAAAGGAAAACTCAAGGATTGTATCCAGTGATTGTTAAATATTGTTGAGTATTGTCTTCTGAGCATCAAAATACACAGTCTATAAAGATTTGACGTTCTTCAGACACAGAGGGCATTTTTGATCAGGGAAGAAAAGGGATTCTCTGTGAATGTGGAGATGCATTGTACTCTGTGCTTTAAAGCTATCTCTCTAATGAACAATATTCATCACAGTCTCTTTTTTCAGTCATCCCACCTGAGGCTAGAAATAATGTTTTGGATTTATTTCTCGTAGAAGTCAGATGATAGGTGAAAATCCAATTGAGTTGCTCACACTGTGTAAAATCCTGTGCTTTTGTTTCCTAGGCTTTCTAGGATAACATTTATCCATTTAACAGGCTGCAATTTGCTTATTGTATTGGTCTTAACCTTTCTGATACTTTTATTCTTTAATATTTTAATGTATTTTTTATTATTATGTAGCTGTGCCTGTTGATAAATGGAAATGGCTATTAGAGAGATCATGGACTCTGCTTCAGTGGATTATTCAGGCAGAGTTTCGACAGCCATCTATCAGGGTTGCTTTCATTTGGATTCCTGAGTGAACATGGAGCAAACAATACCCATATATATATTTGCACTTTTGAAAAGCTGAGAGAAATACCTATTGTACGTACTCATAAATAAGCCCATTTGTGAATAAGCCAAAGCCTATTTGGGGGATGTATTTTGGCACCTAAAATTCTTGAGTTTCTATGGTAATAAGTAAATAATTAGAAGGAACACAGGTGGACTGCAGTTGGGAATATTGATGTAGATTTAATGTCTATACAATATTGCCCTCTATCCCCCATGTCCGTAAATGACAATAGTTCCCACATATGGAAAAAACCAAAGGAGACATACTCAGAGATATCACTGGGATGAAGATTAAATCTGCTCCCTAGCCACTCTGTTCTTATTACCTGGAATGGAAAGTTATGTGATTCAAACTTAAACTCCCTAACTTTCTCTTTTCCTCTTTAAAATATAATGCTTAAGTGTTACCAAACTTTTACAAGGAGTGAGAAGAGAGGGAGAAGTAAGTAATTCAAACAGAAAATTTATTATGCCATTTATAATGAAAACTTTCAATGAAAGATGAGAAAGATTTTATCAAAGTTACTGGCTCTGTCCAAAATAAATAATGGGATGGAATAATTAAAAATCATAGAATGTGGTTTGTTCAAGTGGCAATAATTTAATGATGAACTGTAAGTCCTGTCTACCATTAATAATTACATAATCTATGTAGTAATCCTCAGTAGTGTCACATTTTTTTCCTTCTCTGAACACACACAGACACATACACACTTAAGAATAACAGAATTGGAAGGGACCTTGGAAGTCTTCTAGTCCATATGCACTGAATACACTGGAAGAAACAGTTGCTCTTAGTAAAAAGTATTTCAAGAATTGTCAGGACTGGCTGTGACATTAATTTTGGCATTAGGAACTTGGTCAGACTTTTAATTTAATAACAGATGCTCCACCCCAAATTTGATGGCAACACTTCCTTATCAGGAGGAGAGATTTACCCCTTTTATTTCCATTGCAATTCTGAGTAGACTCTACCAATATGGTTACAAGGCTTTGAAAAAGGAATGAATATCCATTAGGATTAAAATGGGCAAGGGAAAGTTTGAATTGTATCCTAGTAAAAATGATGTAGCCTGACCCTGTCAAATGCATTTCTAAAATTAAGATTTCCAAGAATACATCTACCATAATGTACAATGTGTTTTAAACAGTCGATGCTTTATACAATAATACAATAATACAATACAATAGCAGAGTTGGAAGGGACCTTGGAGGTCTTCTAGGCCAACGCCCTACCTAGGCAGGAAACCCTTTACCGTTTCAGACAATTGGCTATCCAACATCTTCTTAAAGACTTCCAGTGTTGGGGCATTCACAATTCTGGAGGCAAGCTGTTCCACTGATTAATTGTNAAAAATGCAAGTAGAAAAATAGGGACCACCTTTGGTGGGAAGGTAACAGTGTTCCGTGCGCCTATATGAATTTATTTATTTATTCATTCATTTAATTGATATGCCACCCATCTCACAATCAAGTAACTCTGGGCAGACTTCAATGAATAGCAAGCACCCAACAATCCAACCCTGAGATAGATATATTCTTTAGCATTCTTCCTTTTTTTGTCACAATTTCATAAGCCATTGTTAGTTGTAAACCTTCAAATAAATACCATGCATCATAGATTCTCACTGTAGAAGTGGGCATGTCCATGAGTTATATTCAGAAATATTTATCTTTTCTTTATAGTCGCACTGATACCACCATCATTTGTACCATGCCAAGTATGGAAACTATTACCCACGTGGTTGTTTGTGTACAATTTGAAGACAAGTCTTGCATTGGTTCTAATAACTTTCAATATGAGAAAAATCCAAGTATAACAGATATCAACCCCAAAAAGAGTCCAATCAGGTAAGATATCTTTCTCTGTGAGATGTTGCAGAAGTGGTCAAGAATAAGTCTAGTGCATTCCTGGAAGTTGTGTATATTATTCTGAAGTTCAGATCATAGGGAAGAGGCAACTTCCATGCCTGTTTTATCCAAGGGCAAATAATTTTATCTGGTATAGAGACAAGGACCTGACATGCTAGTCCAAAAGCAACCACTGTTTTCAATCCCATGGGGCAATTTCCAGTCTCTTGGAATGATAGCAGAGGAAGTCCTCAGGCTTTCTGATGATTCGTTCTAAGTACATCAAAGCAGAGGCTGACCCCCATTTTACCTTCTCTTTTGCTTCCTGGCAAAGAGTTGTCCCCATATACCCATTCTTCACTGAAATTTCGGTAAATTTTGTACAATAAGGATTGTTGGAATCCAGTCATTGATGGGGCACAGCACCAAATTCATGAAGCAGTGAGGCAAAAGATGACCTACAGTCCTGGTATAGTGGCTCATTGAAGGTGTCAAGTAACACCTGGTGCAGAACAGGGCCTGGTTTCTCAGGAATATCTTGCTCCCACGATGGTCTTCAAGAATTTTTTTTCTCAGTCACCCAAAACACTGTCAGGGCATGAAATTCAGATCTAGAACCTAACCTATACCTAAAATGTTATAGACAATATTGGTTCAACTTCTGAAAAAAGTTACGTTATGTTTTATTAACCATTTTTTATGAAAGGAATTATTTTTACCCCCATCCCCCTTTGCCCAATATGCTGTATTCATTCAACATAGTTGGAAAGATTTCCTGTGAAAAGTACCATTGATGAGTTAAGCACTTGTTCACTCTTAACCCAGTTTCAACTAAGAGTACCAACTCCAAGAAATAAGAAAAAATGTTAATTTTATATGCTTCAAATCATATAAAAACTTCAGGCAAATCCATATAAAATAGTATTATTTTATTGGTCCTCATGTCTTATATAGGTTTCATATTTTTATTAAGAAACTAGCATGTTTGCTCTTAAAATACATTGCCTTTGATGTCATTTCTTCTTCAAGGCCTCCGGGCTCCTGTTCCTTTCTGAATGTCTATAAATTCATTCCCTTCTTAATACTTATTTAAGTATAAAAGTGTAATGTGAATAAAGAAACGAGCAAGTATACCTCAAGACCATGTCACTCAGAGTGTGCCTATAAGGCCAAGGCTCCTGATCTTTACTAGTTCTTTAAAGGGAATTTTGACTTTTAATTACAGAGACCAAATTTTAACATGCGTGAAAAATCTTTGAAAGTTAGCAGTGATGACACTTCCCGTTCTCACTGCTTGATGTAAAATTATATTAATTGTTTTATTCTGTGGATCAAGAGAAGTAGCTCAAAAATGTATGTCAGCCGCTGTAAAAAGTAACAGCTTATGCTTGGCAAAAATGTATGTTTAAAATTGAGATAAATATAATGCTAAATGATATTGTACCAACGGCACTGGTACTGCAGTCCAATCAAAAACTCAATCAAAGAAATGCTTAGGAATGATCACCATATTACACTTTCCATTTGTTTCGCTGTTTTTCCTTGCTATGGTGCTATAGTTTTGTTTCACAGTTATCTAACAAAGTAGAGTTTTTCTTCAAAGAAGCCGTATCCCCCAAACCTTTACGCTGAAATGGTATGAGCGACAAAAAGTTTCTGAAACTAGATAGAGCACAGCGTATTAGGGCTTAGAGAAGCTTAAATGATTTGTGAAGTCCTGTATGGGATATTCTGGTTTGAGTATTTTTGAGACTAGATAGATGTATTGTTATATTCTGATTTCCTAATGATCCATTGTAGTTAAAGCAGACAGGATATGAAGTGTGTGAAATAATAAAAATTTGGATGCAAGAGAAAGCCCGGATAAAGGTTTTTGGTAACCAGTGGTGATAGGCCATTCCCCTGTTGTGCTCTCAACACCAGTGGCATGTTCTAGGGTCATTTCATTATTTCCTTCAATAGAATCTGCAGAGAAGGTGCCACATTTAGCTGTCTAAAGGCATCTTTTAAAGGGAAAAGTATTCAAACTTATTGTTTACTCATAAGCAGCTGCTACTAGAGGTTTTGCTTTGGAAACAAGACAAAAACAAATGTTCAGCAGTGAAATGTTTCTTGATTAATTGATAATCTTATGTTCCAGTGGCCTCTTGAATACTCCTGGATGCTAAACGGTATCACTGTTTTTCTTGGCCTCAGTCTGATGTTAGCAAATGTCTAGAAGCAAATCATTCTCCCCTTGTGATTTGGCTGGAGAGGAGCAGAGAAACCTAATATGTATTTCTGAGACCTGGTTGGGTGAAGACAAGAGTAGTCATTGTAAAGATTTCCCAGGAGTTTTTCGGGACCTTCAAAAGCCTCTGCTCCAGAAAATGAGGAGCATGTTAATAAGACTATAGGAAATCATAAGTACCGTATTTTTTGGACTATAAGACCCACTCCCCCCCCCAAAAAAAAGTGGGTGCAAATGTCTGTGTGTTTTATAGAGCGAATACTGCGGAGAAGAGGTTGGTGCTGCACTGATCAGCTGTTCTAGGCAGTGGGGATTGCCGCTGTCGCCCATTCACGGTGATTGGTGGCGAATGGGCTGTGGCGGTAAATGGACTGCAGCGAATGGGCCATGGTGGTGGTGAGCGGGCTGTGGCAGCGGCAAAAGGGCTGCAGAGGCAGAGGCAGATTTTTTTTTCTTGTTTTCCTCCTCTAAAGCTAATGTGTGTCTTATAGTCCAGAACGTCTTATAATCCAAAAATATGGTATTTGATACAAACATGATTATGAAGAAATGATGAAGTGTGTGCTGTAACATCATAACCCAATACCTGACCTTTTGTATTTGCTTCCAGATACAAATATGTAATCCATGTGGCTTGAACTCTTTTCATTTTATTTTTGTATATATGGGAAAGACATGTCTTGGTTACATATAAATCTTAAATACAGTCTATTTATACTTGCAAAGTATATGGATAAAACAATCCATGTGTTCTATATGAAGTATTGCATCAAGTTAATAAAATATTATATAGTGATGTCCATCAAAAACCTTATTCTTCTACTTAAACAGCAGAAGGTTGTCAAGTCTTTCTAAAAGGAGGGGATTATTGTTGTCAAGTGAATGTTGTGACAAAGATTTAGGGACAAATGTAGATTTCTATGGCTTTGAAATTAAGTCTTGTTTTTTCATATTATAGGTACTGGGAAAATGTACATATTTCATAAACTTAATATTTATTCTATAATAAAGAATTACTATTAGGTCTGTGCAAATTTATTTTATATAATTTACTTATGACGACTATATATCCCATTTATAGTAAAAAAAAAAAAACCTTCAATTTTTCATCTAATCCCTTACTTTTCTGTTTACCTTTATTCTGATTTAATAGCGGCGGCAGAACCATCACTGTGGAAGGAAATGGATTTTTGATGGCTCAGAGTATGTCAATGGTTGTTCGTGCTGTTGGAAAAGAACAAATGGTAAGTCTTCACCAGTGAAGAGTAAGGAGCAAAATGTGTAGAAATGAAAAACAAAAACTTTGTCTAAGCACCTGAAAATATTTACTCAGTAAGTACAGAAGCCTCAGTTTTACTTTCTGTTTTTATAGACAACTTTACTGTCGCATTGCTAAGCAATTTATGATTCCACATGTATCTTTTATCATGACATTTCAGTAAGTCTTCAGAAAGCAATGAAATGTGCCAGGGTGTATATTTGAGCTGGTACCTTCCTTTGCCATCAGCGTCACTGTTTTGTTTGTTAAGAGATTCAAAATATATGTGTGAATTGATCTTAAAGGCTAATGAGATATGTTTTTGGAGACACTGGTTTTACCACCCATAGCCATTATTTTTCTATTTATAAAAGGTTTGGATTATAAAGTTTTAAGTTCGTGGGAACTTAATTCCAATGGGAATTGGGGAGGGGAGACCTTGCTTAAAATTACTATTGCATAGTCCTTTTTTTCTGAGAGTAATTTATGCTCATGTTCAGAGGTCGGTTTTTTTTTTGCTGTCAGCTGTATGAAATAAATATAAAATCAAATGCTATGCATATTTTCTCTACTCTAGTTATCCTCATGTATATAGTAAGTTAGGCTAAAAGAGAATGAGCTGTTTGGTGGGTGGTGAATGTTGTTTCCTCATTAGAGAAAATTCTGAAAAAAGCAAGTTTTAGCATTGGGTGTTTTCTTTTCATTTATATCCTATGGTCTAGAATTTGTGGTTTGAGCTATATGGCTTCTGCCATTATAATGTTTATGATTCTGATCAGTGCTTCTTCCCTTTTTCATTTTCATATATTATGAACAAAGAAATGCAATTAAAGTTTTTGCAGAATTGAATTCTATCTCTGTTTTTTCCAGTCAATATTTTTAAGTATTCAGGAATACTGGAGGTCTTTGTTTCTGTTTATCTAACATCTCTTACTTTCTGTCTTCTGTAAACCCCAAAGTTGCTTTTTCAAAAGGCAACTGGACTTTGTTTTTCCTTGAAAACGCTTCACTTCCCATCCAAGAAGCTTCTTCAGTTTTGACTGAATGGTGAATCCATTTAGACAGAATCCCCATAGACACTGCCATCAGTAAAGTTGAATTACTGTATTTTTCGGAGTATAAGATATACCCTTTTCCCCCCCAAAAAGAGGGTGAAAATTTGGGTGTGTCTTATACACCGAATGTAACCCACCCCGCCCCCAGGCCAAAAACATGAGGCATGGAGGCAGTGATAGTCTGTGGCAATCCCTGCAGCCTGGAACATCTGATTGGGGATATTCTGGCAGTCTGATCCACCCGCCAATCAGCTGTACTGAATCAGACTGCAATAAGTGCTGAAGCTGAACTGGCTGGTCAGAATTTGCAGCAGTAATCACATTCAGAAAGCACACACAAGTAATTGATTCAGCAGAATTCAAAATAATAATAATAATAATAATATACAATACATTACCAAAAGCAGGTTTTCCAAGGTAGCAGTATATACAAGCAAAACACAAGCAGCTTCACTTTCATTTCTCGCTAATCCATGTTCCTTCCTGTCTTGTTGCAGCAAATTTCAGAGTGCAAATAGCCCTCATTGTCTGATTTAGTTGCTATGCCTATTCATTGGCTGACCACCTTACCATGTGTCAGCTGAATACCATGAATGCTGGTAGGCAGAGGCATAAGTTTTTTTCTTCTTATTTTCCTCCCTAAAAACTAAGGTGCGTCTTATACTCCAGAGCATCCTATATTCCAAAAAATACGGTACACTGTAGTTTTTCAGTCTATGGAAGTATCTGTTTTTGTTTTGGCAATTGCAAATTGTTGCCAACTTTGTAGAGTCTCTTTTGTCTATGTTTGATTTGCTTGCTTTCTTCTGTTTTCAGAACTGTAAAGTTCACTCGGACACTGTGATCACCTGCCCTTCTCCGGCTGCCTCTAATCTTACTGGAAGCAAGCCAGCATTAGTGGACTTTTTCATCAATGGACTCCTGTATACCGACGAGAGCCTTTTCCCCTTTGAATACCCTGAGGAAGCTGTACATGTTAGCAAATTTCACATGGAATACTATACAGATCCCCAGTTTTTCACAGCCAATAAAGAGAAATTGATTAAACATCATCCTGGAGAGCCTTTCACCCTTGTTATACATGTAAGAATTTGGAATATACGGACACTGAGAGAGAGGAGAATGCTTAATGTGAAAATAGTTACACGTCCAAGGGGAAAGAATCTTGAGAAGGCAACAGAGACTGGCATAGGCAGATGGTCACCTTTAATCATTACATTGATTACGAGTTGGAGAAGGAAGACTTGGCTCAATTAAACAGTAAAAATTTAGCCATGAGAATTCAGATAAAAGTTTGTTCTTTTTCTAACAACTTAAGAATATGGGTAAATGAAAACAATCACAAGGGAACAAACGTATGACCGAATAGTAATTGAAAAAGCATTCTTATCCCCCCCCCCCAAAAAAACCAACCTGCTTATTCTAATAGCTTCTCTTAAGTAAAGAAGAAAATTTTGATAAAGTAATAAGTTGATCAAGAAAAAAATGCTACTTGAAAGCCATTATGGTGACTGAAAATCTTTACTAAGCTTCAGAAGCACTGGACAGTGCATTCATCAGCGCGTAATGTAAGCACTACCTTCCCTCA